CAGCGCCGTGCCCAGGGTCCTAGTGCCTGTAAATTTAATGGTCCAATGAAGGTAATTTAAAAACTAGGACATTTCCTCACTTTCTAAAAAACCCGGGACTCCCGGGACAGGACGTGAAATACGGACATGTCCCGGGAAATATGGACGTTTGGTCACCCTACACTACATTAGGTTTGATTTCCTCCTCCCTCCTCTGAGTGTGTGTGCACACAGCTGCTTGTATCAAAGATGCAAAAAAAGACCCGTTTTTCAACGTATCATTCCTGACAGTTTCGTTAAACGGAGACCTATTAGTTACAGATAGTTTTACTCTTAATAAAAGATAAAGGAAAGGCATGGCTATCAGTAAAATGTACTGAGTCTACGAATCACTGATTTGCTGAGACAAGTACTGCACAGATATGCATAGCCTTAATAAAGTGAAATTAGATACTTTTGTTTTATAGTTAAATGAAATTTGCTGTTTGTTTTTAGGTCCATGAATTGCCTGCTAACCATCAACATTCTCTTTCTTTTGTAGGTAGCCACATCTGATTTTTTTTTCTTGCTGTGGAAACACTGTGCTCAGGGCAACCTCTTTATGGTAGTAAGTATCACTGTTTGTTTAGATCTTGACTTTTTATTTACTTTTAGATAATTTGGACAGGGTTTACTAATTATGTAGCATCCCAATATTACAGTTAACATCACTGTTTAGAAAACAAATCCATGGTTGTCAGCAATTTGTAAAAGATAGTGACTTGTCTGTGAATTTTGTTTTTTATTTTTCTGCAAAGGTGACCATTTTCTCCTTCCCATTTTCTTGCAGGTCTTTGGATGTGGCAGTGTAAGGTTTGTGACGAATCATTATCTAGTAGATATGAGTTACTAAAACATTTTAAGCTTAAACATTGTCATTATGGACGCAATTTTAGATACCCACGTACATTTACTTTGTGGAAAAAGCTTTTAGTTCATGTTTATCGAAGCCATTCCACACAAACAACTCAAAAGTCATTGACATTGGCCACATTCTCTTGTCAGATTTGTGCTTGCAAGGATATTTCATCAGAGCGAAATTACTTTATTCATATTAATGATCATCTGAGGCAACATGAAACAGTAACTTGTGTTTTTGATAAGTGTGAGTTTCAAACTAACATTTACAGTACTTTTAATTCCCACAAAAACAGGAAACATAAGCCTCATACTTTAAAAGACTACCAAGATGGTGTGGTTACTACCACTCTACAGCCTCAATTGGTTGACTATGCCGATGATTACCCCTCAGAAGATGTAGATATAGAATGTGACACTCTTTTCAATGAGGGCAGTGAAAACAACCAAGTAGAAGACCTTCCTAGAGTGATAGAACAAAAGGTTGCAGCAGTACTGCTGAAGTTGGAAAATATTCATCACGTTTCCACCACAGCTATTGATGAATTGCTTGATGAGATCGACTTTGTATTAAGTTCTGCTTCTGTGCCTGTCACTTTTGACATTATTTCAGATATTTTAAAAAACCACAACCTTCAAATTGACAGCTCTGTAATCAAAGAACTTGCTGTTGCTGTTTGCAAAGCTCAGCCACTAGGAAAAGCTATAGGCAAGGGGGGCTCCCTTGCTACTGGCTTTAAACGGAAACAGTTTTACAAAGAACATTTCTGTGTTGTTGAGCAAGTGGAATTAATTCTTAATACCAAGACCAATCAGAGTTTTCAGTACATTCCCTTATTACAGTCTCTGCAACAGGTACTTGATAATACTGAAGTATTAAAAGATATTTCTGACTTTCACAGACCCCATGAAAATACTGCTGTTGAGCCTGAAAAGCAGATTTACAGGTCGATAAAAGACGGTCTGTTCTTTAAGGAAAACTGCTTCTTTTCTGGTGAGGATTGGAAAATATCTTTAAATTTATACATCGATGATTTTGAAATCTGTAACCCACTTGGCACATCTCGGAAGAAACATAAGTTGTGTGGTGTTTATTGGACGTTAGGTAATTTGCCACCAGGTTCTCATTCTACCTTCACTTCTATCTATTTGTCTACTCTGTGTAAGACTAGTGACTAAAAGGCATATGGGTACGCTGAAGTTCTAGGACCCCTTTTGGAAGATCTCACTACTTTATAACATCAAGGTTTATTCATCTCAAAGGAAAGTTTGTTAAAGGAACTGTCCAGTGTGTTATTGCGGACAATCTTGGAGCCCACGGGGTAGCTGGCTTTGTGGAAAGTTTCTCAGGACACTATATCTGTAGATTTTGTAAAGCTCAAAAGTCGGAAATAAATTCTAAGGAAGTTTTGACAGGTGCCTTTGAACTTCGAAATAAAGAGCAACATGATTCACATGTTAAGTCTGCACAAGAGAATGGGACATCTTGCTTTGGAGTAAAAAGAGCTTGTATTTTTACTGAACATCTTACTCATTTTCATGTCACCAGAGGCTATCCTCCTGACATTGTGCATGACTTGTTTGAAGGCATTGTGCCCCATGAGTATTTCAGCCTTGATAGCCTAAACACATTGATAAAATTTTTTCCTTACAAGTGGAGTGATAAAACCAACCGACCTCATTCCATACCGCAAACCTACTCATCTAAAAAGACTATCGTGGCAATGCGCACGAGAATTGGGCCCTTTTGAGATTGCTGCCCTTTATGGTTGCAGAACTGATACCAGACGGTGAATCAGCCTGGCAAGTGATCTTAGATTTAAAGGATACTGTTGAACTTATTGTAGCCCCAGTTCAAAGTACTGAGACCATTGCATATCTAAATTGCAAAATTTCTGAGCACAGAGCTAGATTGCTTGAACTCTTCCCTGATATAAAGCTCTTACCAAAACATCACTTTGTTGAGCATTATCCTCAAATGATTAAGAATTTTGGTCCATTAGTATCACTATGGACCATGAGATTTGAGGCCAAACATAGTTTTTTCAAACACGTTGCACGGCACACTCGTTGTTTCAAGAACATAGCACTTACCCTGGCATCCAAACATCAGCAGATGATAGCCTATCATATACGTTCTCCCGGTCTCAAGAAAAAGACATTTGAAGTCACACATGTGTCCACTGTCCCTGTGGATATTCTAAATCAGCAGGTGGCTTCAACATTAAGGCAGAATCATCCAGGTATAGCTGAAGTTCATCTTTCAAAAAGTGTAACATTCCGGGGTATCAGATACAGAAATGGAATGATAGTTGCATATGGATCTGCTGGAGGATTCCTTGAGTTTGCAGAAGTTACCCAAATGTGCATCATTCAGGACAAGCTGAGCTTTATTGTCAAAGTGTTGTGTGCCTGGTACAGGGAACATTTTAGGGCATTTGCACTGACTACATCTCCCAGTAGAGAGGTTGCCCTGGTGTCACTTGAGCAGTTGACTGATGCTTATCCGCTCGCTGACTACATGGTTGCGGGCATGCGGATGGTGAACTTAAAAAGACACATAATCACAACAGGTTTGATAATTTAACTTTTTACCATTATGCCATTTTTACAGGGGTGGACGGGGTATAAAATTACCTTGACATCTTATAGCCCCCCTGAAAATGCCAATTCATCTTAAAACATCACGTTCATGTAATTGATTTCTTTAAAAAATATATATCAAGTTCACAATGCCTTGCAATATATTATAGCTCTATTCCTAATATTACTGAAGTAGTGTGTTTTAATTTTTTATAAGAACTAAATTTCATAACTTTTTATAACTATTTGGATGATTTCAGTCACTTATTTTTCTTTGGATTGGGTTGAACTATCCAAGAAACTGAAAGGGTAATTTGCAACATATATTAAAGGGGAAATTAAACAGTAAACCAAAATTGCAGTATTTACACAATTACATTGAGTCCTATTATGATTAAGTGTCTTAAAAACTAACCTGACAAATACAAACGTATAATAAAAAAAGCACAGTAGGCACAGTTTTGTGGTAACAGTGACGTGGTCTTGCAGTACTGTAAGAAGTGACATTAAATAGCTTCACCGATCTGTTGAGAGTTCCCCTGTCTGCATCACAATGAGAGACAATTAAAGATTGAGTAAATGATGGAGACTGATGAGCCAAAGGAGAAGAGAAGACTAAAGGGCGTGTTACTGTTTGCTTCTGGGGATTAAAATTTGTTATAAAAAGTTCAGGCTGACGACAAAACGGACCATTTTCACAAATTTCATCTGAAACAGAGAACAACAATACAGGTGCACTTAGGAGGACAACTCCTCTGATGGCCTCAGAGACTGGGGTCTGTAGCCAGCATTTTCTGGAGGAATTTACACTGAGCTGAAAACTTAAGTTCGGTAAGTTAGTGGTCCACCAGACCAGTAGACTAGGCTTGAAGTTGCTCCCAGTGTTCTTATTTTGCTATCTATAACCAGAGCTTATCATTATAGTGAATCACTGCCTCTGACCCACTGTTAGACTTTGTTAGCTGGGCAGTGGAGCTCAGGTTATCTGCGGAATTAAAAACACTTGGTGCAGCTTCATGCTTTAGTCTTCTGGTCTTGTGGACCACTAGTTTACCAAACTCAAAACTCAATTTTTCAGCTCTAAGTAGTCTTCCTCCAGAAAATGCTGGCTACAAACATTTAAGTTTGAGCCCAGTGGAGGACTGTTCTTCTTAAATGCAGCTGCAGTAGTACTGTTCCGGCTGTGGTTTGTAAAAACGGGCTGTTTGGTCCTTGGTCTAAACTTTGTAAAACTCATTTTAACCCTGGGAGCAAACGGTAATAACCTTTTGTGCGCACTTCTCCTTTGGCTCACCAGTCTTAATCTTTCTTATCTTTTAATATCTCTCACTCTGATGCAGATGGGGAGACTCGTCAGCTCCATGAAACTAAACCAACCTTGTGAGATAGTACTGCAAGATGGCAGCACTGTTGCCTTGAAAGATATAAACTTAGTAAAATACGTTTGTATTTATCAGCTTAGTTATATGATAATTGATAATAGGACTCAATCAAGTGAATTATATTATGTTGGTTGACTGTTTCATTCCCCCTATGATCTAAATTCTCAATGAGTTGGCATGAGATGACCTGGCGATTAAAATGCTGTTATTCAACTATTTACAACATGATAAAATCTTCTCTTTGTTTGCTTTTTGTCTCCCTCCTCTTCAGAGTGAATCTGTTAAAAGATGGACGGTCAAGTAATCCTAAAGATCCTTGTTGGTGCGGACCACGACTCGAGAAAACTAATCCTCCAGACTGGAATTCCGTAGTCTGTTGATGCACTTTGTCTCAAAATAAAGAGTGATTTGGGACTTGTCATGCCATTTAGGCTTCAGTACCAGGACAAAGTCTTTGGAAATGAATACATGAACCTCTCAGCAACCTGTGAAATTGAAGACCGAAGTACTCTGAAAGTTGTGTTCTTTTCCAGTGATGCCACGACCTCTGGCATTGAGTTAAGCCCAT